AAACCCTGCGCCACGGCCTGGTAACGCAGCTCCAAGTCCCCGCCGTCAGCTGCCCTCGGCTTTGTGGCCTGATGTAAACATGAACATGAGCTTGTTTCAAACACAATATATATGTATACACACACCCATTGCAAAGCGTAGTGGCCTAACGCTTGACGCTCAAAGGGTCGAAAAGCCCAGCTGCGGTGATTGGGGCGGTTTTCGGATTTGCTTCTACAGCGTACACGTGCACTGCTTTGGCCGCGTGGGAGCATCGACCTCCTGCGACTTTTTACCAAGTCAGCTTGTCGCACAGCAGCTCCACTATTCGAGGAATTTCCAAGAATGCCGATATCTCGCGTGACACAACACAGCAATGCTCGGGGGGGTGCTCGTTTGGCAGCCCTTCCCAGACAAGCTGCCACCAAGCCGTTGTCGCACACCGACAAGAGCATGCGTACATAGATGAAACACAGATGCTAACGCACATGCAAGTAAAGATACAGACTCGGATGCGGATACACATACATACAGACACAAATACAGAAGCAAACGTAGACATATGTATAGGTATAGACAAAGACATCGACACGGAAAGCCATAGACGTGGACATCAACATGATTATGGACGTAAACATAGAGGTAGACACAGATACAGCGACAAATGAGTCTTAGTGGAAAATCACGTCGACATAGACAGCAGTTGGACACTGAATAAAGAACATAGACCGCGGCATAACGGACAATGGATATAAGATATGGGATATAGACTACAGATAGACTACGGACGATACACTATAGAACACAGATGATAGCAAGTACATCTGGCATAAAAAATTGTAGAACATAGAGTATAGAAATCTTGAAATCAATGTACAGCCACAGGCACAGGTACAAAGGAAACAGACGTGTAGACGCATTCTGGAGATAGACAGATAAAAAGATGAAGACACAGACAGATAGACAGATACATAGGTAAACAGATAGAGATAGACTCATAGGTAAGTAGCCAGATATGTAGATGGATAGATAAATAGAAAAGCAAACAAGTACAGGTACACCCTAACTTGAAAAAACTGGTCTGACGTTTTGGGGTTGAGAACTGTTGTTGCATGGTGGCGGCCCGCTGAGGCCGGGTGATACCAATTTCACATTTCTTCGGCTAGCTCAATGGCTTAACCATCACTACGGCCCGCGCTCGGCCTCGCCATCAGCCGACGACCTAGTTCCTGCAGGTACGTGAACCTCTCTGCGGCACTCGAGTCGAACTCTCGCATCGAGGCGACTCTTTCGCCCCAAGTTTCATCAGCCAAGAATTCATCGGAAAGGCACTCCAGTCTCACCGACTGTTGCATCACGCCCACACGTGGCACCGGCGCTGCCACCTTCGCAAATTGACTTCGGGCTCTTCGGGGGTTTACCCACAGTCTATGAACTCTGATACTTTCATCACGGCAGAATCCCGAAGGGGTCGAGATTCTCGCTCAGATACTTTGGGCGACGTGCTCCAGGGAACCCTACCCCCAGAGTCTGCATTCGAACGGCTTCAATTCCTGCTCATGGTTCAGCTCCTTCGATCGCAGAATACATGTCGTCACACATGCTGTCTCAGAGTTGCTTGTGTAACTGAAGGAAAAATGGACTCTGCTCACCGCTCGCTCAAGCAAACAGAAAATGTCAGATGTCAACGCAAGTCCGTGTGGGAGATTTTTTCAACGGAGTGAATGGTGAGGGAAATTTAGTGGAGCGGGATGAATGAACATCGGCACTTATGGCATCTCAACACCACCCGCCGTGCCTGCAGCAAACACATGTGCAGAGCACAGCTTTCCAAAAAACGTTAACAACATACTATCGGAGACAACTTGTTTCAACATCAAGCCGGCTTGATTGATAGACTCAGACCACCGAAGCATGTACACTCATGATGAACTACGGGCATGGGCACTTGCGCGATCTTGCACGGCTTGTTTGTTGGGCTTTGGATGCGTTGCATAGCCGTTCCCTGGCACCTCCAGGCTGTCCGCAGTGTCTCCCGGCTGCATGGCCATCGCTGGGCAAAGGGGGGCATCTTCACTGGAGCCGGGCCGCCATGCCACAACCACGCACCTCATCACCTCCTCCCCGATGGTCTTGTCGTGCTTAAGGACACTCTCCAACTCTTTGCCGGTTACGGTCAGGCTCTCCGCCAGTTCCTTCGACGACATCCGCTGGATCTCCCTGTTCACGTCCACGCGTGGCAACAAGGTAGGGAAAACGGCCGTCACACGAGGCCTTACGGCTGCCGCACGGCTGCCCCGGCAGTGCCGTTCATGGCGCCGGCGCATAATGCCAAATCCATTAACGCCAAGGAGGCCCACGTTGAGGCCACAATGGCTACAAACTGCTCTCGTGCACGGCCTCATCGGCCTTCTGGCACGACACTTCTGGAATCTTGGGCCGAAACCCTCGCATGTACACACAGTTGCATCACTACCACCGCTGCTCAACTTTCTGGAGGATCTAGAGGTTCCACCAAAAGCACCTCGCAGCTTTTCAAAACTCAGTGCCAGGCCCTGACAGACGGCGGGCGGAGAGCGTCAGCAAGTCGCTGGGTGCCTGGAGGAGATGTGTCAATGTCAACTTCAGCGGCTTTAGTCGTCTATCGAAGATTGCAGAATTCAATAATCCTGAAGGCAGCATGTTGGTCTTTGTGCACAGCATGGAGGGTGACAGGACGAAACTTAAGTTCTGGCGGATGGGTTAGCCGCCGTCGATTCAGTAGCAAACTGCGGTTCTGGGTGCTGTGTCAGTGCATCAAGGGGAATCAAAACATCACCATCATCTTCACCATCAAAATCATCAACATCATTATCATAGTCATCATCATCATCACCATCATTGAACCATTGCCGTCGCAATGGGTCCGTTCTCTGGGTGAATCTTGAAGGATTGTCGAACGGCTGCCACACAAGTGCCTGCTACATCCCGCACTCGACACTCGGTTGGGGCCCGACGACATTGGCACTTCTGACGATGTAGCCTGCTGGCCTTGCTTGCCACCACAGGCAATCTCCACATCCAAAGCAACATCATGGGCATCCCAAAGCATGCTGGGCCTGTGTGAAAAAATCTTCTGCAAAATCAGCTGCATATATATATATATATGTACACACCCATTGCAAAGCTGAGTGACCTAACGCTTGACGTTCAAAGGGTCGAAAGGTCCAACTGTGGTGATTGGGGCGGTTTTCGGATTTGCTTCTACAGTATACACGTGCAGTCGGAGCATCGACCTCCTGTGACTTTTTAACAAGTCAGTTTGTCGCACAGCAGCTCCGCTATTCGAGGAGTTTCCAAGAATGCCGATATCTCGCGTGACACAACACAGCAATGCTCGGGGGGGGTGCTCGTTTGGCAGCCCTTCCCAGACAAGCTGCCACCAAGCCGTTGTCGCACACTGACAAGAGCATGCGAACATAGATGAAACACAGATGCTAATGCAGATGCAAGTAAAGATACAGATTCGGATGCGGATACACATACAGACACAGATACAGAAGCAGACATAGACATATGTATAGGTATAGACAGAGACATCGACACGGAAAGACATAGACGTGGACATCAACACAATTATGGACATAAACATAGAGGTAGACACAGATGCAGCGACAAATGACGTGGAAAATCACGTCGACAGAGACAGCAGTTGGATACTGAATAAAGGACATGGACCGTGGTATAACGGACAATGGATATAAGATGTGGGATCTAGACTACAGATAGACTACGGATGATACACTATAGAACACAGAAGATACCAAGTACATCTGGAATAAATTTGTAGAACATAGAGTATAGAAATCAAGGTACAGGCACAAGCACAGGTACAAAAGAAACAGACGTGTAGACACATTCTGGAGATAGACAAATAAACAGATGAAGACACAAACAGATAGACAGATACATAGGTAGATAGATAGAGATAGAGGACTCCTAGGTAAGTAGCCAGATAGATAGATAGATAAGCAAACAAGTACAGGTACACCCTAACTTGAAAAAACTGGTCTGACGTTTTGGGGTTGAGAACTGTTGTTGCATGGTGGCGGCCCGCTGAGGCCGGGTGATACCAATTTCACATTTCTTGGGCGAGCTCAATGGCTTAACCATCACCACGGCCCGCGCTCGGCCTCGCCATCAGCCGACGACCTAGTTCCTGCAGGTACGTGAACCTCTTTGCGGCACTCGAGTCGAACTCTCGCATCGAGGCGACTCTTTCGCCCCAAGTCTCATCATTCAAGAATTCATTGGAAAGGCACTCCAGTCTCACCGACTGTTGCATCACGCCCACACGTGGCACCGGCGCTGCCACCTTCGCAAATTGACTTCGGACTCATCGGGGGTTTACCCACTGTCTATGAACTCTGATACTTTCATCACGGCAGAATCCCGAAGGGGTCGAGGTACTCGCTCAGATACTTCGGGCGACGTGCTTCAGCCCAGAGTCTGCATTCGAACGGCTTCAATTCCTGCTTATGGTTCAGCTCCTTCGATCGCAGAATACATGTTGTCACACATGCTGTCTTAGAGTTGCTTGTGTAACTGAGGGAAAAGTGGCCTCTGCTCACCGCTCGCTGAAGCAAGCAGAAAATGTCATATGTCAACGCAAGTCCGTGTGGGAGATTTTTTCAACGGAGTGAATGGTGAGGGCAGAAATTTAGTGGAGCGAGATGAATGAACATCGGCACATATCAACACCACCCGCCGTGCCTGCAGCAAACAGATGTGCAGAGCACAGCTTTCCAAGAATGTTATCAACATACTATCGGAGACAATTTGTTTCAACATCACACCGGTTTGATTGCTAGACTCAGACCACCGAAGCATGTGCAATCATGATCAACTCTGGGCATGGGTCGTCGCATAACCGTTCCCTGGCACCTCCACGCTGTCCGCAGTGTCTCCCGGCTGCATGGCCATCGCTGGGCAAAGGGGGGCATCTGCACTGGAACCGGGCCGCCATGCCACAACCACGCACCTCATCACCTCCTCCCCGATGGTTTTGTCGTGCTTAAGGACACTCTCCAACTCTTTGCCGGTTACGGTCAGGCTCTCCGCCAGTTCCTTCGACGACATCCGCTGGATCTCCCTGTTCACGTGCACGCGTGGCAACAAGGTAGGGAAAACGGCCGTCACACGAGGCCTTACGGCTGCCGCACGGCTGCCCCGGCAGTGCCGTTCATGGCGCCGGCGCATAATGCCAAATCCATTAACGCCAAGGAGGCCCACGTTGAGGCCACAATGGCTACAAACTGCTCTCGTGCACGGCCTCATCGGCCTTCTGGCACGACACTTCTGGAATCTTGGGCCGAAACCCTCGCATGTACACACAGTTGCATCACTACCACCGCTGCTCAACTTTCTGGAGGATCTAGAGGTTCCACCAAAAGCACCTCCCAGCTTTTCAAAACTCAGTGCCAGGCCCTGACAGACGGCGGGCGGAGAGCGTCAGCAAGTCGCTGGGTGCCTGGAGGAGATGTGTCAATGTCAACTTCAGCGGCTTTAGTCGTCTATCGAAGATTGCAGAATTCAATAATCCTGAAGGCAGCATGTTGGTCTTTGTGCACAGCATGGAAGGTGACAGGACGAAACTTAAGTTCTGGCGGATGGGTTAGCCGCCGTCGATTCAGTAGCAAACTGCGGTTCTGGGTGCTGTGTCAGTGCATCAAGGGGAATCAAAACATCACCATCATCGTCACCATCAACGTCACCATCAAAATCATCATCATCATCATAGTCATCATCATCATCATCATCACCATCATTGAATCATTGCCGTCGCAATGGGTCCGTTCTCTGGGTGAATCTTGAAGGATTGTCGAGCGGCTGCCGCACAAGTGCCTGCTACATCCGGCACTCGACACTCGGTTGGGGCCCGACGACAGTGGCACTTCTGACGATGTAGCCTGCTGGCCTTGCCACCACAGGGAATCTCCACATCCAAAGCAACATCATGGGCATCCCAAAGCATGCTGGGCCTGTGTGAAAAAATCTTCTGCAAAATCAGCTGCATATATATATATATATATGTACACACCCATTGCAAAGCTGAGTGACCTAACGCATCAATACGTCAATGCGTGATGCTTATAATAAGAGTCAAGCACCAGTCATAAACATGACCAGTACCGGCAATAGAGTGCAGACTGAGCCACATGATCTGGCTCCAAGCCCGAAACACAAAGACTCACGGTATGCGATGAAGGGCCTCTACCTAAACCCCCCAAAAGTAGGTAAAGTAATGGCCCAATACCCATTGAAGGCCCATTATTCTATATACTTCTGGGGTTCAGGTGCGGACTCAGGCTGATGCTTCAACCAACTCCATAGAACGAGGGCCAGGCAGCTGGACCGTCAAAGCAGCAAGAAGGCTTCCTGGCAGACAAGTACACAGTGCATTCACCTGAATTCCCTGAAACATGGCAGCATCGTAGTAACATGATAGTATTAGTAAAATCGTACTATAATAATAGTTAGTACCATAGTAATATTGGTGTTTGGTGTGGTGGCCGCCCGGTTCGTTGATCTGTCCATATCTCGTCATGCATGGAACACCGCAGGAGTTTTGCAATCTGCTCGCGTTGAGGCTCATCTTGGTGTTGTGACTGTTGCAGCTTAGCTTGAGTCGGGCATGGTGAGACATCGACAAAATCTGACGCTGTGACACAAGTCTAGCCCGAGGCATGAGTAATGAGGCTCTGCGAGTTCGAGCAGTAATACTGCGCGCGAACGGTACCAGCAGCAACACAGGCTGCTAGTCGGTGGGCATGACACGGGATAATGATGCGACAAAGCATCCTAATGGAGATGAAGAAGATGAGGATGACGAGGATTTGTGGCTGAGGAGGCGTACGACAGGAGCAGGAGGATGATGCAACACCAGCACTTCACTGAGTGGACAAGATTCCACCAGTAGCAAAAGCCAATCGACGGATGCAAAGCCTGACAGCAGCGTTGAGCCGAGCTTGAAGCGGAAATAGATGCTGTTTGAGACCTCAGAAACCAGGCTGGAAATGGCTAGTGTAAAGCTTTGTGGGAACATGCTGCTGAACACTGATCTCTTTCCCACAACTCCCGATGTCTTCGCAGCAAGTTGTGCAGCAGAACTATGCCTCGAGCTGCAGCACGGTAAGTCAGCAACTGCAGCCAGCCCATGAAAAGCACCCTGACACATCCTGTGCTGTATGACGATGCCGCGCACAACAAGGCCAACAAAAAACTGCAAGATTTGACCCTAAATCTTATTGACGCCTCAAACATTGCACATGTCTCTGAGCATCGCAGCATCACCAGCAAATGGCCGCTCGTCACCGTCTCGGGCAAGAACGCCCCCCACCTCGCAGCGGTGCGTCGGGCCAACCCTTCCGCAGTATAACTTAAGGTGCAACCAAGAAAGTTGGAACACTGGTTTAGGATGGTTAGTGCTGGGGTGCCCTATACTTATTAGCTGCTACTTTAAGGCCATCAGGAGAATCACGTTCCATCCTTCTGGCTTACTGTAGATTGTGGCAGTCGAAGGTCCAGTCAGTCATGCTTTGAGGCAGCATCGTGCACTCCAGCCAATGGGTCATGGGTAACTTCATGTGTGACAGCACACCGTTGTGGTGTGCTGGGAGTTGACGTGGAGTCAAGGGTACAACGTTCACTTGCTGAAATCAGGCATCGAGACCTGCTTCTATGGCTTAGATAGTCTCGGAGAGGGTGCAGGCGGACAAACAGCTCGAAGCGAAATTGCACCACCCCTCCAGCCGGTAGTTGACCCGAAGAATTGCGCACGGGGGAGAGGTTCCATGTAGCTTGAGTGAGTTGACCTGGAAAATATGTGCCGGCGCTTGGATAGAGCGCTCGTGTTGGCTTAGTGGTTAAGTTCAGCTCGACTTGCCATCCGCACCGATCAGGCTTTCTGCACAGCTATGAGAGTGCGAAAATAATTTTAAAAGGGCCAGACTGTGGGCAGGACCCCTAAATCTACATAAACCGACCCTATTATCCAGCCTCGCTGCTTTATGGGAGTCTCAAAAAATCCTGGACCAGAGCCCCAAGTATTATAGGACCCGATTTGCACCTCCAATTTCACAGCGCCCCTTCTTGCTGCATGCAGATCTATCTGAGGGCACTACCACGGCCAGTGCTGCATAGGGCAGGACTCCAACGGATTCCATGTAGGACACACGCCTCGTTGGCAGACGATTGCAGGAAGTCGGTGTCGAAGAGGAAATATTTAAAGTTTCCCGTAATTAGCATTTAATTTGCCTTCTGTCAGATTTGACAGCTCCAATGTCTACCGCTACCACCACCACGACCACAACTACGACTTGAACTACGACTGCGACCACGCCTGCTACGACGACGACTACAAGGACGACTACAGCTGCTACACTACTACTACTACTACTACTACTACTACTACTACTACTACTACTACTACTACTACTACTACTACTACTACTACTACTGCTACTACTACTACTACTACTACTGCTACTACTACTACCAGACTTACACCAAGACGACTACGACTATTACTGTGACAGCCGACGCAAACTTCGATATCCGACACTTAGTAAGCAAGAGGCCTCTGACTTCCTGCACGGAACGGCCGGAGAGCTAAGGGTAGGCCTCGGACTGCGGGACCCAGGGACCCAAACTAGAAGTCTAAGCCGAGACCCATGTCAGAAAAGGCAACGGGCCATAAGCCTGAGCTCTCCTCCGAAGCTCACATAAACTAGCAGCAACGAATAATAAGCATATTGAAATTTTGTTGATATTAAAACTTGTACATATGTTATTGTGTGAACTAAACCGAGAGCAAAACACTCTAGGACCTGATCTGGGATCGAGATGCCAAGTCCTAGCATACACACCGAATATGCGCAGCTCTGGCTGTAGCCCTGGCCCTTTGCAAGACCTTACCATAACATCTCAACCCACGAGAGCCCTGCATTGTCGTGCAGAACGTAGCGGAATCCCTTTGTGCACTCTGGACTCTACATGCCCCAACCCAAAACACGAAACCGCAACACCCTCTGAAAGCTTCCGGCCTCTCAGCCGCTGTTTCCGTGCCAGGCGCGACGAGCTCCGCAGAGAGTCGCGAAGGCCTCGGAAGTTTCTAGGGGATTCTAGGGGCCATGGAGCACGTGTTTGGCCTGTCCCTGCAAAACAGCATCGCAAAGCAGAGGTTCATAGTGAAAACAGTTCCAACCAACTGTTCCGGGGCAGGGGTGCTCCTAGTGAGTCCAGTTTGACGGGTCAAAGGATTTGGGGTTTTATGTGGGGTTCGGGGTTGAATGGCTTCTGAACTTCTGGCTTGCAGAGAATGTGGGTTGAAGGTCACATACGTGCATGCACGAGATGGGTGTAGAGTTGGAGCATGTGTGTACACTGCAACGAGCAACGACAGACTGCAGCAACAAGAGCCACTCTCTGCAGCAGAGAAGACATGGTGGTATCGACAGCACTCCCGAGCAAACTCCACGCCAGTTGGCTTGAAGCACCCTGCCCTTCCCAAACCCGGCAACATGTCCAATGCCGCGATTGCCGCACCCCCTGGGCTTGGGGTGTCCGAATTGGGCTCCGGACATGAATCCGCCAGCTGGCAGCGAAAAGGTGGAGCCTGCAGCTGAACAGCCGAGGGCTGGTCTCGCTGTCTGCTCGAGGAAGCTGCTGGGCTCCCTGCCGCTCAGGACGATGGTGTGCATCACCTGCATGCATCCACCCAAGCCAAGCTCAGGCTTGCTGAGTACTTTCTGACAGCGTGCTATGCATGGTCTGCATAAACCGAAATGTATAGTCCCAAAGAAGAGCTGGCTGGCGTCAGTGGGGAACCTCAAGTGAAGACGCAGCAAAACCGATTCAACACAGGTTCAGAATCTTTTCTGCAATCTGCGTAGAACTCGGGGCAGTCCAGGAGGAAGTCGACAAACAGAAGCGCCCCTAAGTCGGAACGTCCCCAACTGACATGTCCCCGCCGTGTCAGTGATCTTGTCCATCTTCGGAGGGAGGACCTGTGCTCTTATAGTAGCCCTTATAGTAAATTCCTTGATTAAAAGGAAGCTATAGTCTCCATTGTAGTTCCTTTTTCCATCAAGTTTACAATGACGCGGACACCCCTTTAAAGCGCTGCAAACTCTGATCGGGCCCCCGGGCGATCTCGAGAACGTTTCGCTGACCCTCCCAAGGTGCAGAGACCAGGGGAACAGCCCGGCCTCCATGGCATTTACATGCGCAAGGCGGGTGGGGCCTTCTTCAAGGTGGTGCTAGAGTAGACTTTGTGGTTCAGGATGGTTCATGTGATAAAGAAGTTGGTCCAACTGCCAGACCGAATCAGAACTTGCCCTGCTGCCTGACGCAATTGACGCAGCAAGACTTTCAACCCCAAGAAGCGGAGCAACACTGAGCTGGAGACAGGCCGGGGAGTCGCAGGACAAGACCATACTCTGAGGGACCTCAGGTCGCGCCAAGACTTGGTACTTCGGTGAACGTGAGTCGTCTTCCAACTTTGCCATGGAGGCTGTGCGGTGAACAAGGCCTCCTAGACACAAAAGCACGGGGCTTCCTTCGGAAATCTTCGGAAAGGCCCGACTTTTCTCCAAAAAGCTGAAAGCGATGGTCCCCGCACGATCAACGGCAAACGCGCACAGCACTTTGTCTGGAGCTGCCGCCGGGTTGCGCTATGTACACTCTGCCTAAGAGCGAGGATACCTACGAAACGAGGGGCCTTGAAATTCTCTGCTACCATCTGTCACCTGCATGATCGATTTGCAAGGATCCTTACAGCCTCCCGCACCCGATTGCCAACCGTCTCATAAAGAGCAGTACCTCTCGGCAGCACCTGAACATCAAGAGAGCAGATGCCACGAAGTTCTGGCCAATCCAAGGGCCCGTGATTAAGAAGCATCACAAAGCCCAAAGCCTAAAAGTCCGAACAAGCCTTCAATGCTCTGATCCTTCGACCCGATTCCAGCCCAGGCTCGGTATTCAAACGGATGCACCCAGAAGTTGGCAGCCTGGTTCAGTTTGTTTTTGCAGGCCCTTTTTCCAACTGCTGTTAGTATACCCTGAGGAACCTGTGTGTCGATTGACGCCCGCTTTTATGCATATAATCGTTTTTGGTTTAAGGGATGGGGTGCCCCTGCTTCCCAACCACAGATAATCGGTTTGAGGTTTAGGATTGGGATCAAGGGCAGCACACGGCGTGCAGATTTCAAGCATTCCGACCGCAGAGCAAACTTCCCCACTTCCGACCCCTAAACCCTAAACCGACCAGCTCCGTTCACCTCAATATTGGACAGGATCCCAAAGCCTCGGAAAAAAAGCCGAGCGGCGATCTTTGTGCCAGACAGCACCGGCATCGCCCGGTGCATCGAAGAGGGGTCCACCTCCCTCAGGTTGTCGCAACATGCAGCAGCTTTGAGATCTTCGCGCTTTAAAGAAATCTGTGCAGCGTCAAAGGAAGTGGGGGGACAATATTCCGGAAGCGGTCATGCACACCGTCAGTTAGTGCAACATACGCTGGGATTGGACATTGATAGACTCTGCGCCAATGCACTGCAGCCCAACATAGCCTAATGACATGACCATCATGTTCATGCTTTCCGTCTCCTACTTCTGGGCGTTACTCCAGCCATTACTCCAGCCATGTTACATGTTGGCAGATCAAGGTACGGTGCTCGGAGGCCCAACAACTTACGACCTCTTGCCAAGCCAGGCGGCCAAATGTTTGAGGCAACGTTGGCCCAGATGACGGCGGTGCCTGCAAAAATCGAGTAACGCTTTCAAGATGCATGCGAGGAGAGTTTCAACAACCAGGTGCCGCCCGCCGAAAGAGGCTTCAAGCGTTGAACTGCCATGCTTCCTGCAAATATAGCTCTTGCCTGCTGCTGGCTTGACGGCGAGATTTGCCTCCGTGAAGCGTGTTTCGCCTTCGGAGAGTGACTGTAGGAAATCGCATGATCAAGCATTGCAAAAGAGACTTCAGGAACAAAATGCAGGCAAGCGTCCTCCCTCGGTCGCCTGTAGCCAGGATAAGCATGCGCAATCAACCACCATTTCTTGCGCATTCTTGCACGTAGCAGCGACCAAAGAAAATTATGCAACATCACGGCTCAAGAACTGTCTGCACCAGAGTCGTACTCGTTTCAAGCCCCCGCACCTCCGCGAAAACGAATAGCACCGTGAGGACGCGCAGTCCTCGCGGCGTTTCCGTTCATCGGTTCAACAGAACTTCTGAGGATTTTGTCAATATATACTGCCCTATAGATATTGAAATATCATACAGCATAATTATATACCATCTTGCAGTCGTATCCGAGGCCTCCGAGCTCGCTGCCTGCTCAGACTTAACACTCTTGCGGGTGCGGAGCTGGGTCTTCGTGGGAGCGTCCTGCGCTGAGGGCGGGCATCTCGCCCCAGTCAGCGTCGTCCATGTGACTCTGGTAGTGCTGGCCTCCGGATGCTGCTCTTGCACACGTCGGAAGACGAACTCTTCGGAACAACAGCAGAAGCGAAGCTGCACCCTGTTGCTGAGATCTCGGCCTTCCCGGTATAACAAGAACCTCAGTCTCAAAGGCATCTTCCCCCGCGCGCCCAACCAAACATAATCAAATGCCATGAACTGGAGAATGGATGAAGTAGCCCTTCGAAGCCAGCAACTTCTTCCGGTTGGGATGCAAGGTTATAAGGCTTAGAGCTTTAGGTGCGAACAGAACTCCTCCAAGAACTGCGATTTCGGCGTTTCTCAAGAGTTCGGTTTGAGGTCTCAAATGCTTTGTGGCCGGGCTCGGGCCGAGAATCCCAGGAGCCAAACACAGAAGGAACTTAGGGTTTAGGGGCTTAGGGTTTCGGGGTCCTATGCACCCGTTCAGAAGCTCAGCGACGGTCAACAATGCCACATGAATAGTCGTTATACTGTATGCTGCACTTCTGCCCCGATTTCAAGGCGACTGGCGTGTCAAAGTTGTCCATCGTGCGGCAATCGACTCTAAACCAACCTTCACGCACGTCATACTTGTCCTCGCACCTATCGTTCGGAAAATTCCCCACGGAGTTGCAACAGCAGCAGCGTCGTTTGGCTTTCTGCTGCCCGTGGGTCTCCTCGAGGTTGCCCTGCTCCGACGATGCGCTGACATCCTCCCCTTTGCGAAGAGCGGCAACGATGCCCAGGACGAAGAACAGGAGGAAAGGACACTTCATGGCCGAGGGAGCTGGATTTCGCGAAGATGCGGCGGGATTTTCTATGCGATGCAAAGCTGATCAACTTTAGCCAAGAATGGCGAGGGCCGCACAGAAGCACGAAGCCGCCCGAATGAACGTTTCCTAAACCCCCCAAAGTAGGTAAATAATGGCCCAATATCCATAAACGGCTATTATTCTACATGCTTTTGTGGTCCAGGTAGATGCTCGAGGCTTCGAGACCCAGGAATCGCGCGTGAGAGCTCACACCCGGTTCACCACTCAAACTCCTCCGCGACCATCGCTAGGATGCAAGACACGTACATTTACGTAGTAGGACCAATAGGATTTTGGATTCAGGGTTGCGCATCTCCTGAGCCTCAGGGCCCCAAGAACGTCTTCAAGATCCCAGCTCACAAGGCACACCAACTTTGGCCAGGTGGCTCCATGGATTCGAAGTTCCACGGCGGGATGCCTGCGAACGCGCATCGAATGAAGCGAAGGGCTGGGAAGGTCTCACGCAGATCATCTCTTGATACTTGGTACATGGAACAAGAAATATGACCGTGACAAGCTACTGCTCATTGCGCTATGTACTACTTCTACTCGACTCGCTCGATTCATATGAGCAAAGTTGACGCTGCCAACTAAAGTGCCTCATGAAAGCTGAAGGCTCGAAGCCGAGTGCCACCACGAGTTGTCCACCGGTCTTGCTGCGACGACGGAAAGCATTCACAGAATTTCGTCGCGTTTTTTCAGAGACATTCTATCACAAACCCAGCAACATTATCAACACTGACGAAGTGGACACCCGCCCCCATCAGCTCAATCACCCCTACCACCACTATGACCATCATTAGTAACAGTATCATCTCTTTGAAGCGTCATCACCATTAAGCCCTTCCCTCCAATATTGAACGGGCCCCCAATGAAAACTCGAAAAGTGGCTTCATAACTAGAGTGTATGTCATAGGTTTTATCTCTACTGTCACGTTGGGGAGGATGTTGCTTCTCTGCTCCTGCTCCAGCTCCTGCTTGCTGCGACTCTTGCCTTGCTCTTGTTGTTGAGAGGCGAGGATGATTTCAGTGGAATTTGCCGTCAAGCGGCGGTACTCCTACAGAGGGGATGCTTAACACAGCAATTAAAAGGGGGAAGCGATTAACATCATACCAACATGGTGCAACCAGCAAGGAAAGACTTCTTGATCCAACAAAGTGTATGAGGAGCAATGAGGAGGATGCTGATGATGATAATGATGCACGCACGCACGCACGCACGCAGGCACGCACGCACGCGCAGGTGCACATATGACACATGCACAAGTCACAGCCTCTTGTCTGATACACCTTCCTGTTGTCATCTGTCTGGCCATCCTTTCAAGGTGCTTTCGGATTCCCCCGCCTAGAAGGTCTGAGACTCGTCGGTACACCTCCTGGACCAATGGGTTCAGAAGACAGGTGCCTAAGCAAAGCCAGACAAACGGAGATGAACATCAACACATCAGGCGCTAACGCTAAGGCTCTCATCGGCACAGACGGGCGGCGATGTTCGCAGTCTATCTTCTGCACATCCCGATCGCTTGGCCTGGCAATCAGAGCCCGTTTGCTGCCCACCCAACGAGGAATCTCAATGTGGAAGGCATCTCATCTGTCAATGCACGTCGAGCCACGGCAGATCGTCCTGAAACGCTGTATGTGTTCGTGGGGCATACTGTCTCTGCCTCCCTCTCTCTCCCTCTCCCTTCCTGTGTCTGCATGTGTCTGTGTTTGCCGGTCTGTGTGTCCGTCTGTGTCTGTGCGTCTGTGTCTGCATGTGCCAAGCCGTCACTCGACACGAAGGAATCGTATGCCCTCCAAGTTTTCTTGTGGAAACGAAGGATCTCTCTGCATCGGTAGGCTGGGACACTCCGCCGATTCCATCAACACCACCTAAACCCCTAAAAGTAGGTAAAACAACGACCCAATACCTATAAAAGGCCATTCTTCTACATACTTTTGGTAAAAGGATGACCCAATACCTATAAAAGGCCATTCTTCTACATACTTTTGGGGTCCAGGCAGGCTTTGGGCTCTCCTCCTGCCGGAATCCCGCAGCAAAGCCCACATCTGCGAGCGCCTTTGCCTGCCCAAGCCGGTACTTCGGGAACAGTTGAGGGCATACTGTGATTATTGTTATTATTATTGTTATTATTATTATCATTATCATTATTATCATTATTATCATTAATTGTTGTTCTTATTATTTTAAGGCAGATAAGTAGTACCTGGACCCCCG